ATCCCTGCCCTAGGGTGTCTGTTGCATAATCTGTCCTTCACCAGCTACCCTGATGGAGGGCATATTCCAAGAGGGCTGTCATCATCAGTTCCCCCAAGGCAGTGATTCAGGGGGCTAGATCAATCCCAAACACCATTCATTTTTTCTAAGTTAAAGTGCCCGCAGAATGTACAGAGAGGGTGCATGGGGATGTGGCATGGTATAAAGACTGTACCAGCACAAGTTGGAGATCATGTAGCTGCTTGGGAGTGAAAAAACCATGAGTATCTCACAAAGCCATCCCAAACAAGTGCCAATAAAACCTTTAGATAACACCACCCCACCTGGTATTCCCTACACATGAGGGTGGAGGAAGATCAGGACAACAGGAGCAGCCAGGAGATGTTGGGTTCATAGTATCTCATCACCACCATTAACTCATCCCGGCACCCATCCAGAGCAGCAGAGTTTGTTGTTTATTTCAGCCTTCAGCCGCTGGCTCCTCCTCCACTTCACTGTATTGATAGCACTTTCTCTCACACCATGTGATGCTAGTATACAGAGCCACAAAAGATGGGCTGCAGTGCTCAGAATCTTCCACACAGCCAGGGAAGGATATTAGTAGCAAGTTAACAGCCAGGAAAGAACACCTTGTCCAGTATCCTTGCTATACCCTAAATGGTGCCCAGCAGGCTTCCAAGTGGCTGCAAATTGGCAGGCCTTCAAATACACACAGCCAGCCACTGCTGTTTGAATTAACTGAGATCCCTCATGGATCCAGACCTACAGATGCACCAAGGAACCTTGCCCCCTTTGTCCCTCCCCGCCACCACCCCATTATAATCAAAGTGCAACTTTCTCCACAAGCTGGACTCAAATTCTGCAGCAAGGTGTCTGGTTCCTGCAGCTCTCCCACGTGGCAGACCAGAAATTCCATATCAACTTCATTTAAATTAGAAAATGGAGGTTATAACGGATTAACTGAACATGAATAAAACACTCAGCACCTGTGTTGTTTATTTTCATATTAAAATTCCATTTAATTTATGCTGTCTCCATGCTTTCAACATGTCACCAATTTTTGTGTTGACAAGACATAACTGCATCTGTAAGTTATCCGGGGAAGCTGGAGGTGTTAGCAACTGGGTAGGGAGCAGTTGGGTCTTTTGCCATCTGGGAAGATGAGGGAGACAGTTTGAGATTGTGGGAAAAGCACATTAGATGATTGCTTCTGCTACAGTAATCAGCAGTGAAATAGTTAAGGTTTAAATAACCCTCCATTAGGTCTCAGAATTAACACCCCATTGGAATGCATGGAACAATAGTTTGGAGATCTGCAAACTCAGGGAACTAACACTGAATGCAAGTTACACAGTTTCAAGCTTTTTT